TACATATATATGTATAACTGAATCATTTTTCTGTATACCTGAAACTAATAATACAACATTGTGAATCAACTATACTTCAATTAAAAAAAAAAAGAGTCTTCATTGAACCAGGGGGAAGAAAAAAGAAAGAAAGGAAGACCTTGTTTGTTATCATCTCTCAAGGGGCAGACACTCAGTAGGCACATGACTCTAGGACCCCGTAGGCCATCTCATGTGTCATTTCACTGCCTCCCAGACCCCTCCCCCATAGCCACCCCTAAATAATTGGAAAGCAATGCTCAGTGAGATTTCCACAGGTCCACACCCAGTTCTGTGCGTGCAACTTGCTTTCTTTTCTCCCCCAGGCACCTGGTGTTTCGCCTCCCGCAGCCCCTCCGCTTCCCCGCTCCTGCTTCCCCTCGCCCTTTCCTCTGCCCTGTCCCTCACTCTCCTCTCCTAACTCATTCTAACCCTGGAGCAACCAGGCTGCCTCCTGATCTGTGTCCTGTAGCCCTGATGTGATTCTTAATGAAATCAGTGCAGGGAAGCCTCCTGACCGGATCCATGACAGGTGCATCATTTTTGGCGCAGCTGGGCCCTCGCAGCGCCGGGACCGCCTTGTATCCTTTCTCTGTGGGCTTCTCCCACTTCTGCTCCGTCCTAGCCTCTCACCCTCTCTACCCCACTGGAGGACATCAGCTGGGAATTCCTTGGGCATCTTGCTGCTTTCTCTCTCCTATATTCATTTTAGGGAAAAGAAGAGTCGCCTCACTTTCTCAACGTGTATCTCAGAAGTTATCACATCTTGGTTATTATACTTGGAAGGTTCTCTCAAAGGATCCCCTTATCTCCCAAATCCTGGTCTCATTCTCTCTCACCTGCAAAATCCTAAGTGTTGGCCCACAGATCGGCTCTCCCTTCTCTCACACTGCCATCTTTTACATTTCCTGTTTCTCAGAAGTTCACTTGTAGCTCTTGATTCAAATTTTTTCAGTAATCTTTCCATCCTCAATAAGTGTTGAATTTTTTGTGACTTTTCAAAAAAGAGAGAGAATTCCTTGGTTGCCCAGTGATTAGGACTCTGCGCTTTCACTGGCCTGGATTCAATTCCTAGTTGGGGATTTAAGATCCTACACGCTATGTCATGCAACCAAATTTAAAAAAGAGAGAGAGAGAGAGAGAAGAGCCTTCCTGACGATAGTTACTAGAATTTTTGAAAAGGCAAGAAGGGTAGCCTTTTCATTTATGAGTCTGAAACTGAGCAGATCTGACTTCCCTAAAATTGTCTGTCCTTTGCAAATTATATATAAATTGTTGGCTATTTTTAAAAAGCCTGAGTAGAGCAGAACATTTGGGAGGCTTCTGAAATACTCTTTTGACTATCAGTATCTTCAAAATCTAGCTAAAAATGTTCTTTCTTTGATAGAAGACTTCTGGGAAAGGCATTTCTGTACTCAATCTTTTTTAGTAGTGGCCAGTAACAGCTAATGTTCCTATCATTGCCCTGTATGAATGTGTATTTTATTATAGAATAGTGGTTATATGTGGGAGCGTTAGGGATAGACGGCTTAAGTTTAAATCTCAGTTTCTACTCTGTGACTATGAATGAGTTACTTAATGTCTCTGCCTTCGCCTCATAACTCATAAAATAGGGACACGGTTATCATTTACCATAGGATATGTCAAGGATTGTATTGATGGTGGCTCAGATGCTAAAGAGTCCACCTGCAATGCAGGAGACCTGGGTTCGATCCTTGGGTAGAGAAGATCCTTTGGAGAAGGGAATGGCAATCAGTCTAGTATTCTTGCCTGGAGAATCCTATGGACAGAGGAGCCTGACAGGCTATAGTCCAAGGGGTTGCATAGAGTCAGACATGACTGAGCAACTAACATGTTAAGGGTTAAGGGACTCAGCAGTGCACATAGTGCTGAAGATACAGGAAAGATTATTTATTATTGCTATTGTTATATGTTATTATGGTCAGCTCAGTACATTCTTTGGATTTTCAACTAAATCGTTAATCTCCTAAAGCCAGGCACTTGCATTATTAATAAAAAAAAAATTAATGCAAAATATTTGAGATAATCACTTAAAGACATGAAATATTCTTTTCATACTTTTAAGGCATTTATAATTGATATTTAAGCATCAGTAAATGTTGACATGTTATTGAGTTTTAGATGGTATTTTATTTTTTATTTATTACATCTAGTTCAATGTATTATAAATAGAAAGTTATCATAGTCAACAAATAATAGCTGAATACATATAAATTATTCCCCAAAGACACAATTTTGATTTAAAATATAACTTAAATCTACCATAAATCTGTAGTGAAATATGTGGAATGCAAAAGCAGTGTTTACAAAATTAACCTTTTTACGTTATTGTAAAAAGCCTGTGGTGCACTTAGGACAACTATCTTCTCCAAATTCCTCATCAAGTGTCAAGTTTTCTGAGAGTACTTAATGTTACTTAGACTAAGTGTACATTTCCAAACATTCACATTATGAGTTAATGCTTTGCAACAGACTTCTGAATGGGGTTACATATTGCTTATGTTGCAAATGAAATATGCTCAAGAGCCAGGAGGTAAGACCTATTGAATAGGTCATGGGACTCTTAATGCTTTCCTCTGCTTCCCTCTCTCTGAATGGAAAATCCATCCCAGTTAGTATCATCCTAATAAAACAATACAAAAATGTTTCATGTTAAGGCTCAGAATTCTAGAATCATATATGAATGGGGGAAAAAAAAATAAAAGTCAACTCCCTTATTTCATACATGAGAAAACTGAGGCCTATAGCATTCATTTCAATTCAAACTTGTTTTCGAAACATCATCTGTGCCCTTGGGTTACTGACTTTAGTTCTACCACTTGTTTTCATGCGGTTTTATTGACCACAACTCAAAACACCAGTTTGCTCACAATGCCGTGTGTTTGGATATGGTCTTTTCTACATGTGTCCCTCACAAAGACTGTCTGGTCCTGGTTGGGAATTTTCCTTTGTGATACCAAAGCTAGGAGTATTTTTTTAGGAGTGCATTATCCTGAAACATCTGGGACCAGAAAGAAATCTTTATGGTTTGTATTTTACAGATATTTTCTTTTTGGATTATTTTTTCTTCAGAGAGAAGCCTCTGTGAATATTTCTGATAAAGCATATTGTTAATTAGCAAATTGTCAAAGACTGCTAGGTTCCATCCCTGTGTGGGCCCATTTAGATATGTCCCTTGCATGCATGCGTGCTGAGTCACTTCAGTCGTGGCTGACTCAGTGTGACCCTATGGACTGTAGCTGGCCAGGCTCCTCTGTCCGTGGGATTCACTAGGCAAGAATACTGGAGTGGGTTGCCATGCCTTCCTCCAGGGGATCTTCCCAACCCAGGGATCGAACCCAGGTCTCCCATATTGCAGGCAGATTCTTTACCAAGGCACCAGGGAAGGCCCATAAGTCCCTTAATAACTAACGATTCATTTATTCTCCAGTCACACTTATTTACCTACAATTCTGAAGTACACTGCTTTAAAATTTGATACATTCAAGCCAGGAAAACCAGTTTTTGACAATGTATTTAAGGAAGCCTCAACTAGTATTTTAGGGTACTTACCAGAGATACTTATGACTAATCGCTTTAACTTAAAGAAACAGGACTGGTAATAAAACCCCCAACCACACCTTAATTACTTTGGAGCTGAAATTGTCTTCGTGTGTGTGTGTGTGTGTGTGTGTTAGTCGCTCAGTCTTGTCTGACTTGCGACCCCATGGATTCTATTGCAGCCCATCAAGCTCCTCTGTCTACATAATTCTACCTGCAAGAATACTGGAGTGGGGTGCATTCCCTTATCCAGGTGATCTTCTGACCCAGGTATGAAACCATGGTCTCCTGCATTGCAGGCAGATTCTTTACCAGCTGGGCCACCAGGGAAGCCCATATGTCTTCACATATATCGATGTAAAGTTGTATTTAATAGTCATTTCCCGAACAATATGTTTTTAATTATTCTTTACTGAAGCCTTTGTTCTTTAATTAAACGTGCTGAACAGGAAGATTTGGGGACCCTGCGTAGTCGGTAGGTAGGTGGTAGGTAACAAGTTAAATTGTGCTGAAGCAACGTCAAGGTTCAACTAATAATATTTTTACAAAGCCCCTTTAGAAATGTTCAGGCTGATGTTAACAATGACGTCGATTCATTAGCATTTCGTTAATTACGAAAAGCAATACGAAAATAAAAGGGGAAAGGCAGACTTGGAGGACAGAAAGAGATGCACCCCATCTCCCTCCACTCCCTCCCTCCCGCCTTTGAAATCTTTCTGGAAGTAGCAGGTTTCTGCAAGTGCCAGGAATCCGGTCTCATTAAAGCGCGGAGCGCTGCAAAGCCAGGGCGTTCCCCGCTGGGGACTGCAGGCTGCCTGAAACATGCGAACACCTGGCGTGCTTCTTGAAGGCCCCAGAGACTTCAGTCTCCTTCGGCCGGCTCCAGGGTGTTAGGCAGAAGGCTCTGGGCGGTCAGAGGGGTTTCCTGTGTGTCAGCAACTTCACTTTGCCGAAGATAGCCGGCGGAAGAGCCAAGGAACGCTGGCGGGCCAATCGCTTCGCGGCAGCCAGCCCTAGCCCCGACCCTGACCGAGTGCGCCCCGCGTCCTCCGCCGACTCCGGTAGTGGCTCCGGGGCAGAAGCTGAGCGCGCCGGGCCACAACGAAGACCGGTTCTCCCCGAAGACGGCTCCGGCCCGGGGCGAACACCCTGGAGAGCGCGGGCAGGCAGCCGGGCGGGCTTCACGGAGGCACGCCCCTCTCCTCCCCGCGGCGCGCGGACTCGCCCGGCGCCCAAACTCCGCCCACCCTCGCGGGGAGCCTGGCTCGCCGTCCGGCCGCCTGCACTCCAGACTGAGCAGGTCTCTAGAAGAGCCTGCGAGATCAGCCCGACTGCCAGCCGGACGCGATCCAGAAGCGCACGAGTCCGCGGCCACGCGCGCTCCGATGGCCCCCAGAAGCTGAGGGCAGCGGGGCGCGGGCCCTAGACCCGAGCTGCTGGCTTGCAAGGTAGGGAGAAGGAAGATGCCCAAACGAAGTTGATCTTCGGGGGAAGGAGGCTGGGGCGCGCCCTCCCCACGCCGGAGCGCAGCGCAGCGAATTTGGCTCAACCTCACTGAGCCCCCCGGCGCGCTCTCCGGCGCGAACCCGCGGTCCCTCGGGAAAGCGCGGTCGGAAAGTTGTAGGCTGCGGTGTCCTGAGCGCCCTGTTGTGTAACCTCGGCGCTGCCGGCCGGACGGGGAAGTTGCTGGTCCACCGGCCAGCCAGGTTCGGTCGCCGCTCGGGGCGGATTTCATGGCCCGCGGCGAACGCGGGGCCGGAGCCGGCGTGGGCGAGCCCCCGCGCGCCCCCTCCCGCAGGGATCCCCGGCTCCCGCTCCCGTCTGCTCGCCCGCCTTTCCGATGCTCGCTGCGCCCCTCGCCGCCGCCGCCGCCCTCCTGCCGCCGCTTGTCCCTTGGAGCCGCCGCCTGAGTCGGGGAGGAGAGAATGACCGAGGTGCTGTGGCTGGCGGTCCCCAACGGGACGGACACTGCCTTCCTGGCCGACCCTGGTTCGCCCTGGGGAAACAGCACAGTGATTTCCACCGCCGCCGTCGCCGGCCCGTTCAAATGTGCGCTGACCAAGACAGGCTTCCAGTTCTACTATCTGCCAGCTGTCTACATCTTGGTGTTCATCATCGGCTTCCTGGGCAACAGCGTGGCCATCTGGATGTTCCTCTTCCACATGAAGCCGTGGAGCGGCATCTCCGTGTACATGTTCAACTTGGCCCTGGCCGACTTCTTGTACGTGCTGACCCTGCCGGCGCTCATCTTCTACTACTTCAATAAGACCGACTGGATCTTCGGGGATGCCATGTGCAAACTGCAGCGGTTCATCTTCCACGTGAACCTCTATGGCAGCATCTTATTCCTGACCTGCATCAGCGCACACAGGTACAGCGGCGTGGTGTACCCGCTCAAGTCCCTGGGTCGGCTCAAGAAGAAGAACGCGGTCTATATCAGCGTGCTGGTGTGGCTCATCGTGGTGGTGGGCATCTCCCCCATCCTCTTCTACTCTGGCACCGGGATCCGGAAAAACAAAACCGTCACCTGCTATGACACCACCTCGGATGAGTACCTGCGAAGTTATTTCATCTACAGCATGTGCACGACCGTGGCCATGTTCTGCGTCCCCTTGGTGCTGATTTTGGGCTGTTACGGATTAATTGTGAGAGCTCTGATTTACAAAGACCTGGACAATTCGCCTCTGAGGAGGAAGTCCATTTACCTGGTGATTATTGTACTGACGGTGTTTGCTGTGTCTTACATCCCTTTCCACGTGATGAAAACAATGAATTTGAGGGCCCGGCTGGATTTTCAGACCCCAGAAATGTGTGCTTTCAATGATAGGGTGTATGCCACTTATCAGGTGACAAGAGGTCTAGCAAGTCTCAACAGTTGTGTGGACCCCATTCTCTATTTCTTGGCAGGAGATACTTTCAGAAGGAGACTCTCCCGAGCCACCAGGAAAGCTTCCAGAAGAAGTGAGGCAAACTCGCAGTGCAGGAGTGAGGACATGACGCTCAACATTCTGTCGGAGTTCAAACAGAATGGAGATGCGAGCTTGTGAAGATGCAGGCATCCCCGAGCACCCACTTTGTAACGTGGTAGGATGCTTCATAGAGCCAAGCGCCTATTTTCCCCTTTCAGTTTCTAGTGAGTTTAGAGAACATTCAAACCAAGAAGGCAGTGAATTAACAAATAAAATAGAAGTGGAAATGCCTACACCCACACTTAGCTTGTTTGGATTTGCTTTCTAACCAGAAGTATGTAACATAAAGTTATACTACCCTGCTTAAATATTTACTTTCTCTTCTGCCTTTAAAATTTGCAAACTCTTCTCTTTAAAGTATACCTGAGTACTGAAGCTATTTGGATATTAATATTTTCTCAAAGAAAACTGACCACTGGAAACCTGAGTTTGTGATTTGTCTAGTCTTTATTGTCTTTAATAATCTGAGGTAGGAACAAATTGAAACTTCACATTCTTAGATTAGAGTCATAGACCAAAATACTAAAGTCAGTTCATTCAGTAGCAGATGAACAGATTGCTGCCGGGTGTCTTTTTTTGATCTTGTAAGCATAGGTGGTAGCTGGCTGAATTTCTCTGGAGAATTGAATAGAAAAATCAAGTCAATGAATTTACAAGTCTCCCAAGTGATTATCTCACGATGGTTTCTAGAAAACTGCCTACTCTGTGTTGGGTGCTAAATGTTTGTGGATGGAATTATCTGTATATTATCTTACAGGTAAAATGCCTTCAAAATAATCTAAGTGTATGTACTTTGCTTGTAAACACCACAAACTCTGTTAGACTTCCTGTGACAAAGAGCTTTTGCTTGCACCACTGCTGTGCACTGCCCAAGGAGTATGTTTGTGTTCCAGTACAAATGCTAACTTCCATCTGTAAAAACAATTTTAAAAATCACAGATAAATTACAGATCAAAGTTGAATAGCTATTAGCAAGTTGACGGATGTCGGCAGGAGGGAGAGTGGTTGACAGTCATCCATAATGCATAACCTGCAAGCATATTCTCAAATGGATGAGGGACCAAGAAGGGGGAGATGACATTTTTAGCATAAGGGTTTTAGTTTAAATTAATTATGGTGTAAAAGCTCGCTCTCTCTCTTTTTTTGACTTCTTCCAAATGCTGGAAAACATGGAGTGCAGTGTACCAAGAAGGCAGAGTGTGCATGGATTGTGTTAGTAGAATGAGGCGCTATAATGCTTTGCTGGGTCTTACATCCTCACTTTTGAAGGGAAAACTCCAAACATATGGGAAAGGGAAATATGAAGAATTAAATTTAAATACTTGAAGTACTGCAGCACTACAAAGTGAGGTGTAGAAACTACTAATCAGACTAATAATAGTTTAAGCGAATAGTACTGGACAGTGTTTTATATTTTACCTGTGTCAGGCAGTAATGACAAATCTATTAAATACTTCAGTAACTTTCATAATGATTTTCAGTGAATAGTGAATTGCTGCATTTCTGGCCCTTGAAACGGTCAACTTCGAAATATGTAGAATAATGAGTGAGGTGACTGTTTACAACATCAAATAAATAAATCCGATATCAAAGGAATTTCTCATGGTGAAGACACGCCAACAAACCAGCATCAGAGTCTGCAACTGATGGTGGGGAAACTTGTTTGAAAGCACTTTATATGTAGAGCTATTTGGGGCTGCGTCCAAGGTAAGAACCTTAGCGTCCTGCGGGACCTGGCAATAAGAAAATCAGAGCTGGACTTCAGTTCTTGCAGCATCTGGATGGATTGCAGATTTGTGAGCCCTGCAGTTTCTTAGACTTTCTCTGACTACTAAGACCAATGAGTAAAAGCTGAAAAGCTGTGTTTAACCATCCTAAAGAGTGCGACTTTTCCCCATGTTCAGTGTTAAGGCACAGGTTTTATAAAAACCTTTCAGATGTCCTACCTACACCTCATTTTGAGGAAAGAGAAGTGTTAGCTAGGTTCTCATTTGATTAGGATCCTGCAGTGTTGTCTGTTGTGGAACCCTAAAAGGAAAAGACTAAGCTATGTCATGAATGTATTACCCCTGTCAAATATCATGTGCAATGAGACATGATTAATACCACTAAATTGGCCAGAGTGGAAATATCAAAGCCCGTGCCATCCTTGAACTCGAAGGCTAACGGTACACATTTCTATAATATTCCTTCACCATTTTCTTTACTTTAGTGTTCTTCCTTTTAGGTCTGAAGATGCCCAGCCTGGTTTACAGTATATGTTAGGTACATTGATTCAGCTTCCAGGGAACTTTCTTTTGGAGTGTGGCTCCAGTGTGGATGTGAGCAGGGACTAGAAATGCCCTTTTACTTCTTGACATGCTATTTCCACAGTGTTTCTTCCTTAGCGTCATGCATCACGTCGTGGACAATGATGACATGCAGTTGCCTGCCTAATAGTGACAAGAATGATCTCTCTAACCCCTTCCAGGCACAAAGTGGTCTCTGGGATGAGTCTGCTAATGATGAAACCATACTGAGGGTCAAGATAAAGTGGTGATCTCTTGGCTGAAGATCTGATTCATGGCTTATGATAAAGTGGGTATTTTACCAGTACAGGCAGAAATCTGCTGGCATTTTGATAAAAAAGGAAGCTAAAATTATAGAATGTAACAATTAAGTAAATTTCACATTACAAAACTGAATGCCGAAGCGTTTTATGGCTCATCAGTAGGCAGCTTTGACCCACTGAACATCAGTGTGTGTGTTTGCACTGAAACGCTAAGCACACAGACCCAGGAGAGATACACCATGAGAGTAGAATTTGGAGTTAAAAGGGGGATATTGCCCATTGGCCAGCTGTGGGACTTATTGTCCCTGTCAAGACCATTCTCCGTGGATTAAAAGGGTGGATGATACCCATCTGTTGGGGCCTTACGGGATGTGGTAGAGAACTGCAGGCAGCCAGAGGTGCATGAAATCTGCTACTGTATTTTCCAGGACTGCTGGATACCAGTCCTTGGGTAAAAGAACTCGTACAAAGTTCACCGGTTATGAAATGGATATGACCTGTCAGTTTTCTGTCTCCTCAGGGCAGTGCACTATACTGCCTCTGGATATCAGAGATGCCAGTGCTTACAGCAGCTGGAATTGGACTCGTGAAAATAAAGGTGTGTAACTAGTTAGAGATATAGTAAAGCTTTAACTTTGCTGGTCAAATTGTAACTATCATAATAGTATTTATTGATGAAGCTCACGGTCCTTCCATTGTACAGATTGAAAAACTTTCTTGAAAGTTCCAACATACTGATGTAAATTATATTTATTACAATGTATAATATTAATATGTCACATTGGTGTATTTTACATAATGTATGATGCATAAAAATGAGTTACTGTATATTATGCTTTTCAAATATCAGTATCTTGAAATGTTTTAAGTTTTCAGATTTTTTTAATCTAAAATACGAAAATCTGTTTTGTGATACAAGTGATTCATTTTCTCTAGAAATGCTTTTGCACGTTTATCTTTTTATTTAGGGTTCTTCCTACATAGACACAGTTTGGTGTCAAACTTTCATTAGGATCAATAGTAAATACAGAATATCTTAGCCAAACTGGATCTGTATTGGCTACATTTTATATACTGTTATAGAAGTGTTTATATTGTCTTTTCAATACATTTGGAATTGTATCCCCAAATACAGTCAGAGCTTCCCATTTCTAAGTGCAAAAGTTTTGTCCTAAGTTCAGACAACATCACTTATGTTTTAGAAGTCTGGTGAGATGGGCACTATAGATATAATGTTAGCATTTAAGGAAATACTTAAGGGAGATGGAGAGAGAAAGAGACAGATGGTATAATCAGTTACTCTGCTCAATTCTGCTTCAGTTTTTATGTTGTGTTTCTTCTTAAGGTGAAATAGCATAATCTTAATTTCTTTGAGATGAAGTTTCTAAGTAACACACTACCAGCAAGTTCAACATTGCTAGTAATTTTAATGTTTTATCTGTTCATTTGATAACTTTAATTCCAACTTTTACAATAATATCTATATATTATTTGCTGAATCCTGTTACAGTTTTAAAATAAATTCTGTTGTACATTGTATTATACACATCATTCCAAATTAATATGAAGGGGAATATATATTACATATCAAAAAATTGTGAATTTGAGATCTAGTATGTGTTAGTGCTTTTGCCAAAATGTTTATTTTTATAATATCTGTGATTTTAATATAGGTAATTGAACTAGATTTCTTTGTGATGAATAGTGCCATTGAATGACTGGTATGGAAACAGTGTTACTTGACATTTTGTGCTTTCTCAGGTTTATCTGTATCAATGGTAGCTTAACAGATTCCAGACTAATTGTGCATAATTGTGTTTTAAAAGGAATGTACATTTCCTATAAGTTTGCATGCAGGAGTATACAACTTGGAGTGTGTGTGTGTGTGTCCACAGCATGGCAGCCAGCTTTGTATCTGCTGTTGATAATAACAGCAGAGCTTTGGTATAATCGTGGTCATTAGAATTATACCTACCATAGACAGTTAAAACCGGAAGAATCTCAATAAAACTATGAAATGTGGTCTGATGGCTTCTATGTTATTGCAGTGTTAATACTTGCAACTTTCCTCAAATTTTGACCTGTCCTGTTGTGTGTGTGCACACTAAGTCACTTAGTCGTGTCTGACTCTGTGCGACCCCATGGACTGTAGCCCGCCAGGCTCCTCTGTCCATGGGATTCTCCAGGCAAGAACACCGGAGTGGGTTGCCTTGCCCTTCTCCAGGGGATCTTCCCGATCCAGGGATTGAACCTGTGTCTCCTGCAGCTCCTGCATTGCAGGTGAATTCTTACCTGGTGAGCCAGCGGGGAAGCCCACTGTACTGGCTGGCAAATACTATAGAATGCCTTGAATTAGTATAGGCATCTCAACAGGCAGCCTGGACTGTAAGAAGTGAAGTGTTAAAGAAAGAATGCTGGTACAAGATAATTGATAAGATCATCATTATTTATTATTTAATTATTAACAGGAACTTGACTTAATTCTTTGAAGAAAATATGGAACATAATCTTAATCATATTTCTCATACTAGTGTTCTGTGTTTAAAATGTCAGCTGTAATCTAATGTAATGTAATGCCTCCTGTAATTTTTAATCCATGGAGGTAGTCATTCTAATAATCCTTTGTGATTTCTGTTTATCTATTAGTTTACACTCCCTGCTTCTTCCAAGTGTGTGTGTGTGTGTGTGTGTGTGTGTAGCTATGCAGTGAAAAGCTGTATGTGGAATGGACACATGCTTAAAGCATTGCTTTATTTTCTTTAGTGGAGAAAGTAAGCACACAATTGGTCCCTTGTTGGATTTTTTGGTTGTTTGCTGAGACAAGTCCCCTATCACAAAATCCTGTGGATAGAAAAATGCACATCTCTTGTTGCCCCTAAGATATTGTCACTCAGTTTTAACTCCTTAATTGGCTGTCTGCTCCTTATTGGAAGTCTACTATCCAGACTTCACCACTCAGAAATCCTCACTTATTAACATCAGTTTTGGTAAAGTTTTGTGGCTGTGTACATAGGTTTGTGTGTTTTGTTTAATGCATACATAGAAATTATACAGATAATTATCTTTCTGATTTAGGAAGAATCTGCCATAAAGCTCTGGGCACCCTGCAATTTTCAAAAACACTTCAGGATTGCAGTCAGAGAACCTTCTTTCTCAAGTAAATATACTGTGTTTAATTTCTCTCTGTGATGAACTGGAGAGTTTATGTTTTCTTTTTAGGAGGTTTAAAATTTTGCCCCCAAATATGGTCCCAGTTTCTGTTTCTAAATGTAAAAAGCATGTCCTAAATTCAAAGTAGATCTGTTGTGGTTTAGAAGTCTGATGGATGGGCCATTTAAGACACAACATATGTCACTAGAAATTCATGTAAATATTAATACTGTGCTTGCTTGCTTTAACCCTGCGAGGTTATGTGGCTTTGGGGTAGACCGTGGGGACTCACATCCCCAGCCAGCCTGGTTTCTAGGACTGATGATCCAAACGACAGCTGTGGATGGAGTCAGGCCCCTGGGCTGAGCAGCTGCCAGCACTGAAGTCCCTTAGAAATGGACATGGGTAAGGGCGGGGAGGGGGGGTGCGGTGGGAGGCATGTGGAGCAGTCGGTACTGCACTGAGGGGAAAATGCCTTTCCTGCTTGCCAGATGAGAAGGTGGAGATGCCTGATGATAGAGTAAAACAGAAGGAGGTTTTGGGGGATGATCCCACCCGGTCACCACCTGAGAGTAAAATTTTCATGGTTAGAGGTGGAACTTGCAAAAACTCAGGCTTCTCACTCCTATGAACACATTCTTCCCACCTCCCATGGCTCTCCAAACTGTGGATCTTGACCCACTGATGCGTCAAAAATGAGTATAGTGGATTATGATAGATACTCTTTCACGTAATAGATCAGAATCTGTAGTCAGTGAGTAAGTCTTTGTGATGTCAGTTTCAGACACACACACACGCACATGCTCATATATGCAATACACACACACACACACACACACACACATGTACTTGTATCCTGGGTCACACTGGGTATTTAATTTCTTACCAAGGACCTGGTCAAAAAAGTTAAAAAATGACACTACTCTACAAAAAAAGGTAGCATGGAGTTACGGAATAGGGCATGAGAGATTGTTTTTCAAACTCATTTTAAATCAACACAAAGAATCTTAGTTATTCATTTTGTTACATGCATTCTCTTTTTTAAGTGTTGTTTTTCTCTAGATTTAACTTGAAATTCCCAAAGAGAAGACTAAAGCAGAATTTAGCCTACATGTAGAGATGGTTATTTGCAGTTAAATATAGTATAATTGAAACTCTGTACATTTTGACAGCTTAACTCTTCATACTATTCCCTCGGTTTTGAGCAGTTAACAGCAAAATAGCGAATGTCCACTATGTGTAAGAATATTGGCTTTGCAGTCAGAATGCCTTAGGTTTGAAGCTACCTCTGCCGTTGGCTACCTCTGCCATTTACTACTTCTGTATCTTGGGCAAGTTAATTCAGATGTCTTGGTTGAGTTTTTCTCAACTATAAAATGTCTATAATAATTTGCATCTCCTAAGATATTTAGGAGAATTAAGTGAAATAAAATATTCAAAGCCTACAATACCATACAATACACACTTAATAAATGGTAGGTCTATAATTCTTGAGGCTGCTAAGGTTTTGCCACTCTGCATATTATTTTGTTATTATTATTATGTTTTTATTAATAGAGATATTAAAATTTCTGTTTTATTTCATGCCATGGAGGCTTTGTGATTTTAGAAATTTACATCATGAGATTGAGAGTAGGTCTCTTAGAAATCCATGCTGTGGCATTGAGTGCATTTAAAATTTCTCTTTTCGGAGAAATACAAATATGATATCTCTTATATGTGAAATCTAAAAAAAAAAATGACACAAATGAACTTTTTTTTACAAAACAGAAATAAACTTACAGACAGGGGAAACAAACTATGGTTACCAAGAAGAAAATGGGAGAAGGGATACACTGGGAGTTTGGGATTAACGGGTATGCATTACTATATATAAAATAGATAATCAACAAGGACTGCCTGTATAGCACAGGAAACTATATTCAATGTCTTCAATTCAGTTCAGTCACTCAGTCATGTCCGACTCTTTGCGACCCCATGGACTGCAGCACGCCAGGCCCTCCTGTCCATCACCAACTCCCAGAGTCCACCCAAACCCATGTCCATTGAGTTGGTGATGCCATCCAACCATCTCATCCTCTGTCATCCCTTTCTCCTCCTGCCCTCAATCTTTCTAGCATCAGGGTCTTTTCCAATGAGTCAGCTCTTTACACAGGTGGCCAAAGTATTGGAGTTTCAGCTTCAACATCAGTCCTTCCAATGAACACCCAGGACCGATCTCCTTTAGGATGGATTGGTTGGATCTCCTTGCAGTCCAAGAGACTCTCAAGAGTCTTCTCCAACACCAGAGTTCAAAAGCATCAATTCTTCAGTAATCAGCTTTCCTTATAGTCCAACTCTCACATCCATATATGACCACTGGAAAAGCTGTAGCCTTGACTAGATGGACCTTTGTTGGCAAAGTAATGTCTCTGCTTTTTATTTATTTATTTATTTATTTTTTATGTCTCTGCTTTTCAATATGCTGTCTAGGTTGGTCATAACTTTCCTTCCAAAGAGTAAGCGTCAATGTCTTGTAATAACCTATAATAGAAAATAATCTGAAAAATTATATATGTACAAATATAATATGTATATAATACATATATTTAATTGCTCTTTTGGACATTCTATTGAATATCTGAGTTCAAATAATAAGCAAGTATTCAACTTTTTGGTGCTTTGTACCATGTTAGGTACATGTTTGTACATGTACAAAGCCGAGTATGTAGAGCTAAAAATATACATACAAAAATGGTCTGCTGACCTCCTTAAAGTGCTTCACCTTCAAGTTCATGGTCTATTTTCAGTCACCACAGTCCAGAGCCTGGTCTTCAGTTTTGCAGATCTAGAAACTTGATCTCAACAGTTCACCTAGAGTTCACCAACGATGGGGCACTGACTCACACCAAGCAAAGTGACAAGAGAATCATTTACCAACTAGAATGTCACTTTATGAGTATACAGCAGCTATATCCCCTTCACAATAACAGGCATCTGCCTTGTTGTGTAATCTAATTATGTATCAGAAAGTTTCCTGCAGAGCTTAAAATAAGAACAAAGAGAGGCATTCTTGAAAGGCATTTTCAGTAAGCTTGAAGAGCTAAAAGAATTGCTTATCCCTAGAGCTGCTGGTCATGATGATCAGCATCCATTCTGTACTTTGAAGAAATTCCACCTGCTGGTGAATTTACCTTAGCAGCACATAGACTGAAAATTTCACATTTGCTTATTTTCTTTCAAGATCAGTCACCACCATTATTATTGTATTGGCCAAAAAGTTCATTCAAGTTTTTCCATAACATGTTATGCATGTGTGTGTTCTCAGTCATGTTTGATTCTTCAAAGAATTCTTTGATTCTTTTAACCTCCTGGACTATAGCCTCTCAAGCTGCTCTGTCCATGGGGTTTTCCAGGCAAGAATACTGGAGTGGGTTGCCCCTCCTCCAGGGGATCTTCCTGACTCAGGGATTGAACCCATGTCTCCTGCGTTTCCTGCACTGGCAGGCAGATTCTTTACCACTGAGCCACCGGAGAAGCCCATAATATCTTATAGAAGACTCCAAACTTGTGGCCAACCCATACTTCTTTGACCAACGCATACTTCTCTACTTGCAAATTATGTTTTAGTGATGTCTCCCAATGGTGGTGTAGGAAGCGGGGTGTGGTAAAGAAGATTTCAACATTGGCTCAGTTGGGGAGACTTAAAAGACATAGTTGTAAAGGTGCAACGTGTCATTACAAAGACCGTTCTAGTGTGGGAGCAAGAGACAGAGGTTTGGGAATTGCGCATGTGCAAACGATAGCTGGAACCAAGGAAGGAGGTGCAATCAGGAAGCATGTGTCATCAGAGGACGAAAAAGGGCCAGCAGGGGCTGTGGGAGTGAACTGACC